TATCCGCTGGGAATCGTGGGTGAGGGATTCGGAACGGGCCGGGAGAGGCTCTTGTCTGAAGAGGCTGGGGCTGTGTAGGGGGCAGGAGATGGGACAGTGGGTCAGGGAGCCTGGGCTCGGCTCACAAAGGACTTATCAAGGAAACAGAAAGCCGGTATCTCTGCTCTGGGCTGGCAGTGCCCATGTCCCACCCCTGCCTGGGTGCCAGTTGCTGTGCAAAACCAGCCCCCTCCCTGCTGCCCCATCCCAATGGTTCTCTTCCCTCCCCCGCAGCATGATCGGGCTCCCGGCAGAGGACGACTGGCCCCTGGACGTGGCCCTGCCGCACTGCGCCTTCACGGCACGCTTCCCGCAGCCCGTGGAAATGTTTGTGCCAGAGATGGAGAAGCTGGGGGCGCAGCTTCTCTTGGTAGGTCGGGGTGGAAGGGGAGATGACGTGGGAGTAAGGGGGGGAAGCAGCAATAATTTAGCCTGAGAAGGAGAATTGGGGAGGGGGCCCTCTGGAGCCCCTCCGAGCCCCTAGAGCTGCTGATACTGCTTGGTGAGACGAGGGCCTGGTCCGCGTGATGCAGCCGCGGGCTTCTCAGCGGTGGGACCTAGTCCGTGTTTGTTCCCACCGCAAAACCAGCACGTGGGGTCGGCCGGCTCTGGAAATGACACGCCCGGGGGCATCGGCAGAGCTGGGGGGAGGGGGCTGCGCGTCGGGATTGAGGAGCACCAGCAGAGCTGTGTGGTGGGGAGCCCAGGGTTGGGAGAGCGGGGGCCTGCGGGTCGGGGAGGGGTACAGGACGCAGGGTCCTGTTAATTCGCCCTTCACTCTTTGAACACCCAGTTGTCTCAGCTGGCCCCCAGCTGATCCATTGGGTGGGGAGGCCCAGACCCAAAGTCCCTCTCTGTGGGGGTAGGGCGGTGTCCGTCCCATTTAACCCTTTCTCCTCTCCTCCCTAGGAGATGCTGACCTTTAACCCCTACCAGCGGATCTCGGCCTTCAACGCACTGCGTCACCTTTACCTCCAGGACAAGAGCCTGGTGGAGGGGTAACGCCCCAGCGCCCCCCTCTCCCCTCCACGGGGACCCAACGGAGGACTCGGGATAGTGCCAGTTCTGCACCCGCCCCACGCCCCCGGGGGGGGCACAGCCACCAGCACGCACATGGAGACGGACTCGAGCAGGGAGCGAGACGCCTCCTCCCCGGTGGCGTCTCCCCCCACCCCCCACGGGTGCCTGGTCCCGGGCAGGCCTAGCTCTGTTTAAGGTCAGTTTGTGTTGGGAAGGGGCCCGGCGGGGCCTCACCCGAGTTCTCACGGACACTTTGAGTAGCCCTTTGTAACCGTTTACAAGATAACTGTTGCTGCCTTATCACATTCCAGCCTCCTGCCGCTGGTCTCAGCTCTTCCCACCCCGCTAGCGAGGGGCTGAGAGCAGCCCGACAGACCCCTCCCCCTCCCCACACTCGGGGCAGGTGTTTTTTTTGTTTTTTTACAAGAAATATTCGCGCGCGGTTTTTCTACTACCAGGGCGGTGGCCAGGGCGAGCTGCCGGATTGGTGCACGTGTGACAGTTGCTTCCCCGAGGGTGGATTGGGGAATCCTTGGGGGGGGAGGGGAGTGCTCCCTCCCCCGGGGCCGGGAATCGACAGTTTATATTTATAATGATTTTTCTCAGACACTTAACTTTGTTTTTTTTTTTTTTTTAATCGGCTCTAAAAATGGTAAGAGTCTAATAAAGGGAAGGCAGGGGGATGGGCGGGCAGCGCCCGGGAAGACCTGGCTGGCCTCGCGTCGTGCCCCCCCCCCGCCTGCCTTGCCACTTGGCTTGCCTGAAGGTGTCTTGGGTTTGACTGGGGCGGCTGAGGAGCCAGGACCCCGCCCCGCGCTACGTGG